TGGCAGGGAGGAGAGAGCTTGGTTTACAGGCCAGAAAACCACGCCCCCCTGCTGAGGAGGGTCAGTGAATCAGAAATCCAGAGGAGCCAGGTCTAGCGCAGGGTTACCAAACTTGTTTTATCCAAGAACAATCTGGATATTTGACTATATTTTTCAAATACACAGAAAGCTACACACACAAAGCAGATGACAGCGGAGCTCTTAAAGCCCGGTGGGGGAGAAGCGGGGCCCCCAGGCACCCCACGGAGACAAGGCACAATTAAGTGCGAGACAGCTAAATACAAACAGACCCAGGTTCAAGTCTGGCTCCACGCCTCACTCTAAGGCTAAGCAAACTGAGGGTAATAGCGGTATGCGTGCCAAACAGGGCCGTTGGGAGGATTATGTGAGATGGAGCATGAGAGGTACTTAGCAGGGTGCCTGGCCCCTAGAGTGTGCAATACACGATAGCTGTTGTTACAAAAAGAAAGAAAGAGAGAACTAGCATTTCACAAACCGCTACCTCCCCACTGCACTGCCAAGAGGGGGTCAAAGAAGGTGGGAGCCACGGTGGAGAAAACAGGGTGAAAGGACGTGCCCCAAAGCCCGCGTCAGAACCTTGACCTGCCAAATGCTCTGTAGGGTGTGTGCGGTGTCTCACCTCTTGGCAAATTCCAGGTACTCCTGCAGCTCTCTTGGGGAATAGATGTCACCCAGAGGGTTCCAGGGGTTGACGAGGATGAGACCTTTGACCTTCACACCCTGAAACAGTCAGTGGGGCAGGAGAAGACCCTCAGCTCTTCCGGAAGGCGAGAACCACATGGTCCCACAGGACAGGTTTGGTCACTGGGCAGGCTCCGAGGAAAATGTGATGGGACCCTAGTCACCACCCAAGACGGAGCAAACAAGGGTAGAAAACCACACCTGCAGCAGAGAAAAAGCCCGGAGAGAAACACGCCCAAATGCCAGCAGGGGTTGCCTTTGTAGGTAGAATTATGGGTAGGGGTATGCACATTTAAGATTCCCACAGTGAGCATGTAATGACTATGATAAAATAAAATTAAAAAAAAAAAAAATTGACAGATTTTTGAAAAGTAGACTGGAAAGGAACCACTGGAGGACTACTGCTCCCTGTCTTTCTTCAGGGGGCCTCAGATCCCCTCAGAGTGAGAGGGTCTACCTCCTCAAATCACCAGGGAGATTGTTGAACTACAGGCTTTTAAGCTCCACCCTTGACCTGCTAAATCAGAATCAGGCGGAGTTGGGGAGGGTAGTATTTTTAATCCATTTCCCCAGTTGGTTCTTTGTACACTGAGGTCTCAGAGTCCTCCCCTAGTGGGAAGCTCCTCTGTGGGCAGGCTCCTATCTAAGCCCCAGAATGGTCCTGTGTCTACCCTTAGCCCCATCACAGAGTGCCAGCCCTACCCTGTGCCCTGCTCGGACCCACCCACTCCCGGCTTTGGATTTGATTTGATCCCCAGACCTCAGAATTAGCTCCTTGCAGGGCCTTCTCCAGCTTCTTCACTGTGAGCTGGAAGGGGCGTGTGCCTAGCTCAGTGACCTGGAAAAAGATCCACAGCCAAATTTAGTGACCCCTCCAAAAAACCTAAACTCTGGGGGCCTCTCCATCCCCCTTGGAACAGTCTCTGGAAAAAATACAGGTGGATCCCACCCTTCTCACCACCAGCCACCCCCGCCCCAGCATATCAGGGACACCCTTATCACTCAGGTTTCAGGAAGAGGCCCCAGAGGTCCTCTGATTGAGGTCCAAGGACTTCCATGTTGAGGTCTGCTCTGCCCCATCCTTACCCCACCATTTCGGTGTGGCCTCTCTAGGGCTTCCCTTGGCTTCTACATCAACCTCAGAGATCTCAGCGCTGGGAGATGGGGAGCCCCAGGGGAACCCAAGCACGGGCCATGGGTAGCAGAAGCCTCCACTCCCCTTTCAGCCATAACCCCTGAGCCCTCAGCATGGACTTCATCCCATGTCCATCCTCAAATTCAGATTCAGGAAAGTCTCGGCCTGCAGGAAAGTCAAGGTCCTACCTGGGGTTCCAGGAACTCTTACCTCACTGTCCAGAGAGACACAGACCAGTTGGACGTTGCCATAGAGATACACATGCTGCTTGATGCTTCCATAGTAAGGGGCAGGGATCAGAAAAGCCTCTGGGGACAGGAGTGGACCTGTCACCCTGTGGCTGGAATGCCCAGACACCCTGGCCTCTGGCCCCCTGCCTCTCCAAGCCTTCAACGATCCTGGGGAACATTTAGGGAATACTCCCTCTCTCAACTCCCAAAACTCTTTCAAAAAAGCTTGGATCTACCAAGATCAGTCCCTTTTCTAATAATTAGTGGCTAAACACTTACTACCTGCTGGGAATACTGCTAAACATTTATTTGCATTTTATCTCATTTAATCCTCACGATCACTCTGCTAAGTTAAGTGCTATTATCATTTTTACTGGTGAGGAAACTAAAGCTTTGAGGATCTCGCTGAGGCACTTGACATGCGCAGTCACCCCAAGGAGACTCGGATCCGTGAGTTGAAGCTGTAGGGTGATGATCTGGGCTGAAGAAGTGGAAAAACTTGACAGCATACAGAACTGCCCAGAGATAGAGTATGCAGCTTCAGGAGGAGTGGTTTCTCCACGCCTGGGGCCTTCAGACAAAAGGCTGAGACTGTTTGGTGGGGAGGGGACAACTGCAGAGCCTCTAGCTGTGGAAGGGGGCTGCTGAGACGACTGAAAGCTCTTCTCTGACACAGAGCTGAAGGCATTTATCCACTTCTGAAGAGGACGCATCATCGGTCAAGCTGCTCTCCCTTCCCAGCCTCTCTTTAGCACAGTCCACCCCGTTGCAGCTCTGGAAGGGGCGGACTTTATTCTACGTGTTCCCCTCCCCAGCCAGAGAGACTGGGCCAGAGGTAGACAGATGACCCAAGGGAGCCAATCCACTGGCTGGCCAGAAACCCAACACGTTCTCTCTCTCTCGAGTCTTTGCTCTAAGAAGCTGCAGACACTTGTGAGAGGAGAATGTGCACATGAATGGAAAGGTCACGTGGATTCGGGGCTGGGCGGGCACCACGGGGCCACACCAGAGCCGAGGAAGGTCCGGAGAAAGCCCTGCATCAAAAAAGGGGCAGGGAGACTGCGTACCCCAGTGACAGATAAAGCGTGACGCCAATCCCGTCCTTGAGCGTTCTAGAACAAGTAGGAACGTGCCTGTTATATCCTGGCAATGAGTCTTCTTTCTGTGGTTCAAATCCTGGTTACTACCTCTCTCTGTGTGTGATTCTGACAAGTTACTTAGCCCCCTGTGCCTTCATTTCCTCATCTTTTAAATGAGGATAACCACAAAACCCATGAGGTATCACATGGGTTGTTGTGAGGATTAAATGACAGACTAAGTGTAAAGCCTTAGGCCAGTGCCTAGAATGTAGTACGTGGTCAATAAGTGTTACTAATAGTATCATTATTAATTAAGCTAGCGTGTGGGCCTCTATTCCTGGCAATTAATAACTGCTGAACACAACAACAGTCGATGTGTTCTCCATGTAACTATGGCTCCTGTAGCAGGTATTCTGGCTGCCTACTCAGCAGCCGTTCCAATTTTCTTCCTTGCTAAGAGAGCACCATATTTTCCAGATATGACCAGCAATAAGTCCAGGGAAGGTGGGCCTTCCTCCAGCCCGGGGGATAAACCAAGTTTGGTTGTAACCAAACACGATTCTCTTCCCCTTTGTGAGTCAGTTCTGGGCATTAAGATGCAAGAGGAGCTCAGCTGGGACTCTTCTGGGAAGAATATCCCCATTTCTCCCTCCGGATAAAACAGAGGCAGGCAAGGCACAACCTCCCTTCCTTCCTGCTTTAGGACATGCTGCTACGTGAGGATGTGACAGCCATTTGTGAGCATGAGGGAAGGCCAAGGTCATCACAGAGAGACAGTCCAGAACCCTGGCGTCACACTGACTTCGCCTGGAACTGTTGATCCCTGGGTGTCTTGTCAAGCCACTTATTTAAGCCCCCCTGTAGGCTAGTAGACTATTAAGGCCAAAAGCATCCTGATGCAGCCCTTGAGGACAGGTAGCTGGGGGCACTGCAGGCATAGGGACAGCTCCCACTGCCGAGCGGGCGGGCCGTCATCCACTTACCCCCCATCTCACACAGCACGGTGGCCAGAGCAGAGAAGAGAGAGGCACAGCCATTCAGAACAACCACCTGAGGGTGACACATCGATGAGACAAAGATGAATCTGTTTAAGGAAGGATCAAGAACCTGCAGCCTCTGTCCCAGGATGACATGGAGGGAGAGAGCCAGGTTGCAACTCAGTGCCCTCTGGGGCTCTGTCACAACAAAGCCACAGACGCCTCCTGACTAACAGTCAAGTTCATTCATGTGGCTCATTCGTGGGGATCCTGCTCTAGATCAACTGAGCAAAGAGGAGGGAGCTGCTCACTCAGAGAGTCTTGCGCGAAGGCATGGAGGCGAAGAGGGGCCACAGCACAAAGTGGGGCAGAAATTATACCCAAACTTTAAGTATCTTGGATTCCACTTGGAACAAATCGAAACTAAGTGAAAGGCTGGTCCCAGCCTCACCTCACCGCCGGCCAGCCAAAAGCTGGGGAAGGGAGCAGAAGAACAGGAAAAAGCAGAGGACGGGGGGCTACTCACGTTCTCTGGTTTAAGGGGTGAAGGGCTCTTGCAGTAGAAAGACAGGAACCTGGCTACTTCCTCCCTGAGGCTGCAGATAAGACAGATGGGCAGTGCTTGTCAGAGGGTCTTCAACCCACAGTACATCCCGAAGCTCCTCTGGCAGCTGCCATTACCCTTTCCTGTTTCCCAAGAGGGCAGTGTGATGGATATTTGCCTCCACTCCTTGGCACCCGCCCCCTCCCCCCTGCTCCAGCCCAGACACTACTCACAGGCACAGAAACTTCCATTCTCAGTAGTTCTAGGACGGCCGACCCCACCCAACCATCAGTCTTTGAGGATATCAAAGGCAACACTCTTTATGTAGATCCAGTTAATAATAATAACGAATATTATTACTATAACTATTATCATAGTTATTATTGCTAATATTTATGGAGCATTTACCTTATACAGGTTTTATTTGGAGAATTTCATTCATTTAATCTTCATAACAACCCTATGATACAACTGCTATTATTATTATTAGTTTTACAGACAAAGGAACTGAGATCTGTAGGAATCAGGTCACTTTCTGTTAGCGGTATGTACGGTCCACACTCAAGCCCAGCGGTCTCACTCAAGGGCCCACCATCCTAATTACTATAAGAACCCGTGCTTTGGAATCAAGACCTACTCGGTCACTAAGCCCTTAGGACAGCATTTGATCCCTGGTAAGTGCTCAATAAGCACAAACTCTTTCTAGCGTCATTTACCATCTCCCATCTTACTTGTAGGAGAAGGCTCCCGCCAGCTCCCCTTAAGCTGAATCTGGCTCTCTAAAGCTACTGAGAAAATGGGAACAAAGACACGTCACCTGAAGACCCTCCCCATGCCTCAGACCCAGAGAAATCAAGTTAGTGAGCTCCTGAGCTCAGGTGGGAATTGGGGCGGAGAGGCGCCAGTTCTGTGCAGATGCTCTAGGAGACCCCATGATCGCCAGCCAGATGTCCAGGACTAGAGCAGGTTTCTCGGCCTGCTACTATTGACATTTGGAGCCTGATAATTCTTTGTTGCGTGGGGCCATCCTGAGCATCGTAGGAGGTTTAGCATCGCCCCTTGCTTCTACCCAGCGAATGCCAGTAGCACCTCCCCTCCCAATGATAACAATCGAAAATGTCTCCAGATATTGCTATATGTCCCCTGGGGAGCAAAACCACCCTGGGGTTGAGAACCACGGGCCTCCAGCAACTACTTACAATAAATGTCCCCTCCAGTCAGGGTACTGCAGCAGGGACGGCTCCACCCGCAGCATGTCACTCTGACTCAGCTGGGGGCAGAGGGAAGAGCAGGACTAAGGGTCACACACCCTCACGTTGGGGGCCAGCACTGCCACCCACATCCACCTGGAACCGGGGCCTCTAAAGCCAAGGGCTTGGTCTCCCCATCAAAGAAACTGTGAGAATGGGACAGTATTCCCATGCCCATTTTGCTGATGAGGAAACAGAGACTCAAAAAAGTGAGGTGACTCAGCCAAGGTCACAGAGCTAGCAAGCAGCAGTGCTGAGACAACACCCAGGATTTTTGACTCCTAGTCCAATGCTCTTTATACCATCCTGCCATCTAAAAAAACAGAGGAGTGGATTTGCAGAGGCAGTGCTGGGAGATGGTGCTACTCGGCTCCTTCACGGGGTGACAGGAAGAGGCCCCAGAATTGGGTGCCATCACTTTAGTCCTTGCTCCAACTTCTAGAGGGACTCAGGCCACTGTCTTCTTGCAGGCTCAGCTCAACCTCACACTTTGGAAAAATGTGGCCCTCTCTAGACCAGCCCCACCCTGACCAGGTGCTGAGTGAGTGACTCCCAGGTCAACACGCATACAATACCAAGGAAAGGTAGGGGACTTGGGCAGTGGAACCAAAGGAAGAGAGGTACTTAGCCACACGTATAAACTGCAGCCTTTCCCTTTCTCCTTCATCCCCTAGAGCTACACTGTCCTATATGAAAGTCATTAGCCACATTAACTATTAAACACTTGGTATGTGGCTAGCGAACTGAGACACACTGGTTATTAAAGACTTGATCTGAGAAAAGGATGTAAATATCTCATTGATAATTTTTTATATTGATTCCATGTTGAAATGGTCATATTTTAAATATACTAGGCTAAATATATTATTAAAATGAATTTTGCCAGTTTCTTTTTACTTATTTAATAGAACATTTAAAATTATATACGTGGCTCACATTTTATTTCTATTGGAAAGTGCTGAGCCACCTGGGCGGGGAGCTGGCTGTGGGTAGCAAGCCCCCTTCCTATACCCCTCTCCTCTTAGGGGCTGGATTTGTTGCCTTTGGACATTTCCCTTTAGGTTAAGCATCACTCTCAATCCCCAACTCTGACTCCTAGGCCTCGGGAGACACATGTATCAGGTGTTTCCACTGATTTGCTACAGATGGCTTGCACCAGCTCAATAAATCTGATTATTACATTTTCAGAAATTTTGCAAGCTTTGTGAAGGCAGTGTTAAAAACAGCCATTTCAAAAACTAAATTCTACCAATTATATATAAATTACATAAGTAAATTATGTTAAAAACAAAGGTAGTAAGTATGGAAACAAGAGCGCTCCTAATTATGTTTCCAAATTTTACTATCACCTGTGCTCTTGAGGCTATTTCTGTGTGTCTGGAAGGGCGACACTGTACAAGCGTGCCACTATGTATGCAACCGTGCCTCTCCTCCTAACTCTGCATGCAGTGATGTCACATTGGTAGCTTGAAAATGGCCATATTGGCCATTTACACTAGGAATATTTACACTACGAGAACTAGCAAAAGCTACAAATCAGTGTTGCACCCCGAGCCAGTTGTTCAATACTGACCGTACGCCACTGAGTGTTTCCCCGAAAGCAGGGACCCAGCTGGCTGGAGGGACTGAGTGAAGGGAAGAGCCTGAAGAAATGAAGAAACAGGATCAGGGTAGGGAAGTGACCAGCCCAAGACCACATAGAAAGTTGCCCCGAAGGCAGATCTAGAACCTGGACTCCTGACTCCCAGGCCAGGGCTGCTGAGGCAAGCAAGAGGCTCTTGTGGGGGAAGCATCCCAGGGAGTCCGAGAGAAGACAAACCCCTGGAGCTGGTGATGTCACCCAGAGGTGCACCGGGGCTTACCCGCCAGGACAGAAGGTCAAAGCAGAGCTTGTTCTCACTGGTACCCAAGTTAATGGTGCCCTGGAGAGGAGAGGTACAGAGGCAGCGTGAGCATGGCAGAGGGGGGCTAATTAAATGTCGAAGCAGCAGCAAAGCAGGAACTCTCTGCAATCCCGACCTTCTAAGCACTCCTCCTTGACTTGGCTCAGTCTTCACCCTCTTCTCGGCTCCCCGATCCCATCTTTCGGTTCTAAAGCTTTGTTCAAATGTCATGTCCTCCAGGAAGCCTTCCCCGAACCCCAGAAACTATGAAATGTTTGTTTTAAGCTGCTCAGGTACTGTGCTAGGCAGCAAAAGATAACTAATACAAACCCTCACTTTTTTCAGGTATCTGCTCAAATATCACCTTATTAAAGTAGCCTTTTGTGACCACTTCACATAAAATAGCAAATGCCCAGCCTACCCCATCATTCTTTATGCACTTTACCCTGCTTTATTTTTCTCTACAGCACTTACCAGCATATATACATTTTTTTTTTCACTGTCTGTCTCTCCTCAACTAGACTCTAAACTCCACAAGGGCAGAAACTTTATTTTTGTTCACTGCTATAACCCCAGCATCTAGAACGGTGCCTAGCACCGGGTAGATGGTTGACAAATAAAAATTATTAAAGGGTTATTTGTGACAGCTCTCTGCCCTCTGAAGCTATTACTAACAATAATTTATAATAACATTAATTATTAAAGTAGATAAGTATACCTATTATAAAATTACATATATTAACATATAACAATAATAATAGCAGCTACCATTTACTTCATGCTCTATGTGGAAGCGCTGTGCTAATAACTTTACATACCTGATCTCATCTAATTGTGCCTGTTCTATAGAGCAGGCATCATTATCTCATTTTATAGATGAACTGAGGTTCCAAGAGGTTAAATAATTATCTCAAGAATACATAACCCGTAGGTGAAACGGTTGTGACCTGAGCCCTAGTTTTGTCCCAGCTCTAAAGCTGAATAGTTGATGGACTGAGGGTCAGAATCCATATTAGAGCATTTCATGGTTCTTGAACTCACGCCTCACAAATCAAGCAAGGTCCCCTTGATTTGGGGCATTTTCTGATCCAGGTCATAAACTGGGGCCTCTCTAAGCCAAATTAGAAGCCCTCTTGGAGGTCACAGGACAATAAGTCCAACGTGACGAGACCAAGCTGGGTGCCACCCTATCGGTCAAGGTCGGGTACCCCACCCACCCTGCAGTCCTTTATCGGGTCCCTTTAGCGAGGAGGGCTTCACTCACCTTGGGGTTCTTATCCTCATCATACGCATCCATGAGGTAGCCCCTGTAGCCCTCCTCAGCTGTGTCCCAAAACCATTTAATGATGCTTCCTCTGGAGGACAGGTGGGAGCTGTAAGAGGAGAACGTGGTGGTGGGATCGCCCACTCCACAGAGCTCCGGCAGCTTCTGGCCTAGTTTTCTGGAGCATTCCCTTTCCAGACCATCGCCACAGTTGCTGTCCAGGCCCTGTGTGGAGGCTAGGCCCACACAGGTGGTAGGTGCCCTGGATTCCTTCTGAGGGAGAGTGGACATCTGCAAAAAGAGAAAAGCACTCAATGCCTGAGGAGTCCCTTCCATAGGACCAAGCATCAAAAACGAATTGGGAGTCGTGGGGCCCTCTCCCTTCTCTGTCTCTTCCTTTAATTTTATATACTAATTGCATCCTGTGTCCCTGACTAGTTGTAACCATGTATGCAATCACTTGGGTAAATTCTGTTAAGGATTTATTCCGTGCCAGGGTCTGCGCTTGCTACTTTGACATGACTTTACGATACAGCTGCTTTAATTTGTTTTACTTTTGTGGGTTTTTCATTCTGCAACCTAAGGGGTCACCAAGGGTCTTTTCTCGTGTTTGCTAACCATAGTTTCAAAAAGCCCTGTTAAAATGTTCTAACAAAGCAGAAAGAGCCTGGAGTCCAGCGGGCGGGAAGGGGGACCTTGTGGTGACTGAAGAGAGATGAGATTCCATGTGGTCTGAAGCAAGCCTTAAGTGGGGACCGAGGGGTGGAGAGTGGGGATCTCTGCAAGTGCAGGCGCCCAGGCAGGGCCCCCTCTTCCTTCCCAATTAAGCAGCTTCCTCATCTGTACGAGGGGTATAACCATAACTACTTCACAGGGTAGCGGTGGGGACATAAGAATTTCAGTTAATGTAGATAAAGCACTCAAACAAATCCTGGCTCATAGTCGAAGTTCGGTTATTATATGTTATTATATAACTCTTTGTAGATTTCCCCACTCCTCAATCACAAATAACGGGGAACTAGGGACTTTGGGGGCTCCCGGGTTCAATTTTGCTCCACG